AACACCTCGACTAGAACTATGGGCCCACCTTAATTCTGGAGGGTGAAAAAAATTTCATGGGGTCTCACCTTGTGTGTGCGGCACCTACGTCTATGTAATTTCATGGAGTCATCAGGGCTGCTGGACTCTATAATTTAACAAAATCCCGATAGCTGGCAGCACTTCCTTATGTGTTTTTTTTAGCTGTTCCGTTATGCCTCATGGTGCCATTATGCCCCACCTTCCCCTAGTTATCATATTGTAAACATAAGGTATATAAAAGCTGGATGTGTCCGCCAGTATCCGTGTGGAAGCTCTGTGTTGTTCGCACGCAGCTTGGTCACCCACCGTTCATCGCTGTTGATCATGAGGTATCAAAGTCGGAGGTCAGCCTGTGTGAATATATGCATCGGTACAAACTTTTGCCCGCAACCGTTGTCTTTCGCATAATACTCACAACGATCACTCGCTGTCATATTCGTTTCTTTCACATATTAAGCCTAGCATATGCCGGGCGCGCGCTGCGAAAATTCCCCTGTTCCTGCGACTAAAACAGATTCTACTTTCTTACGACGGAGAGAAACTGGGTGTAGCTGATATCCGATCGTAGGTGTGAATTTATGACATGCGTGCCCCATGAAGCAAGTTGCATTTGTCGATAATCGAATTGCGTTGTTTCCTACGGTATGACGTAGTCACACCGTTTCGAGCAGTTGTCGTATTGTTATCAGGAGTGTCATATATATATATATATATAAATGTGTGTGTGTGTGTGTGTGTGTGTGTGTGTGTGTGTGTGTGTGTGTGTGTGTGTGTGTGTGTGTGTGTGTTATGACACTCCTGTTATTATTACATCAATGCAATACGAACTTTCCCGCGTTTCACGTTACTCGACGTGAAAATGCATTTAAACAAGTATCGTTAGACGGAGAGTTGTTTCGCGCGCGCTCATCCGATTGCTTTTCGGTTTAATTTCTCAAATTTTTGCGCCGCGTGCTAATGAACTCAAATTTATATACGAACCGGAAAAGATGCGGCAGCTGCATCGGACGCAGTTACATTGCTGACGGTTTCCGGAGCAACGGAAGCATCGCGGGCTGCAACCTCCACAGCAGCACGTGTGGGATCCGTCAGCGACAGGGATCATTGTCGCACCAATCGCAACGAGCAGCACCAACACCAGTATCAACTTCTGCATGGCTCTGGCTCTAGGCTTCGTCGAGTCGTGGGTTAACAGCTAAGAGGAGATAATACTGCAACTTAGATTCGATGTGCGAATTGTTCACGATCAATTCAGGCGTGGGTTTATATATTATGTTGATTGTTTAGTGGTGCGTGGCGGGGGAAATTACACTGCGGTCCCGACCAGGGTCTGCGTTTTAAACCGCCTCAGGGTGTTAGTCGCAAGCAAGAAGATATACGCTTGGGCTAGTATTAGAGGATATGTAATACCAGGGGTGATGAAATAATGAAAAAATTATTAGCCCCAGGTAATACTAATACGTAGTGCGACGTTGTAGGAACCAGTTGTGTCATCACTAGGTGCTTTAGCGTTATAATTCTATATTGAGAAGACTCGACCGCAAACGCTGCAACGATTACTATGACGACGATGACGGCAACGACGATGACAGCAACGACGATGACAGCAACGACGATGACAGCGACGACGATGACGGTGACGATGACAACG